CCCCCCCCCCCAATTGGGGACAGTAGTGGTCGCGATATAGTGGCATGTACTGACAAGAGAACATCGTGCCACTATTGACTAACCAATAGTGGCACGATTGCCACTTTATCGGAGAACAAGCTTTGATGCTTCCGCTATGGACAGTTGTTCGTTGGATCTTCACTCGTATGCATTGTGTATGTATCTAGGGTCCCTCCGTTGTTGTGTACACCAGTATCCGCGTGGAAACGCAGGTAGGTGTCTGCCCATCACGTGTGCGTTGACAGTTGATCGGCCTTGTGACAACGAGGCCTTCGGCGGTCCCAACCTACCTTCGTGTGCAGGCGGGCTGCAGAAACAAACAAACGTTTTTTTTGGGCCGGCGATCCATGATGGGGTTCAACACAAGCAAGACAAACATTCATGTTGAAAACATCAATGCACGCGAAACCAATGGAGCAACCAAGTTGAAAATGCCGAACACTCCCCACTCCGGCGTATCAGTCCCAACCGCCATCCATAATAATTTGCACCAACAGGCGTCAACCGACCGATGCCACTACACTGTGACTGAGCAAACGCTCTGACTTCTAACGTCTAACTGCCGTGCCGGTCTAGTGGCATGTGCTGCGAAAAATGTCATCTTTGCCTTACGGAGGAAATGCCCGGCCTCGCCAATGCCACACGACTCCGCGTACGTACTCGTCGAGAGGACCAAAAAGCGCAGACAGTTCTGCGAACAACGGCGGCGCCTTGATCCCTCCACCCCCCTCACTCTCAGAGTCTTCGGTGTTGTCTAGCTCTAGCTCGCGCATGCCGGCATGATACGTGTAGCGTGGCGCCCGCTGCTGTGAGTGTCGTGTTTGTGTGTGTATTGTTATTGATAGAATCGACCACACTGCTAACCGGCTGACCAATGAAAAGACGTCAGTCTCTGCGGTTGAAAACACAAAACCCTTGTAAATGCTAACTGGGACGGGGCGGCATGGGGGAGGCTAAGCTAATCTCCGGATGAAATACAGAAACGGTAACAACAGAAGAAAACTGCACGCATCTACCAAGGTTGCTACCTCCGACGCTCTGAATTGCCAATATTGCGGGGATGAGATGCCCAAAATGCCACTATTGAGGGCCCGGTCCTCAATAGTGGTAGAATGTCACTATATCGGGTTGAGATTGTGACAGGAGATTTTGATGCCACTATTCAGGGAATTACACTTTTCAGGGTACCGCTATATCGCGACCACTACTGTACACTTGGACATCCGCAGGCTTTGTTGTACACCGTACATTCTAGGGGATACACTTACGACCACGACCTAATTCTGTGCGTTTTGTACGGACGTGTTCCGTTCGAGTGTGCTCTGAAATTTTCCCGAACCGCTCGATGTTTTTGTGTACTGTACATGTACCAGCTGATCTTTTCCTGGTCCATGAACGTTCCATTCATGATTGAACACACGCTCCTCGGCCTTTTACATCGCAATGTCAATGTAAATTACGCATTTTGTATGTATTCGGCCATGTATTCAGCCATCAGCCACTTCTCCCGATAGGAGTGAACCAGCATATGACTTTGAGATTTGTTGGACGAATTGGTTCATCTACCGTATGTATTAGAACTGTACAGCAAGATTGTACAAAACCGAGCTTGTTTCTGACGAACGGCTTACATATTTTTTTTCTGGTTGGTAGGTTGTTTTTTTCTACCTACTGACAGTGTCAACAAGTGATACCCATCTCAAATTACGATCGCATACGTACCATTTATCGTAACCTACAACGCCTCCAGTTCACGTTGGTGTATGGAAGCACTATCCACGGCGCGCTAACCCCACGTAAGCTGGTGGCATGTGGGTTTGGGTTAAGGAACACACAGTATGCGAAAGTGTTGAAGAGTATTTGCCGTGTCAAACCACTGCTTTTGCGCCAAAGTGGCAAGCACCCGCCACGTCTGGTGAATGTTGCATGTATGCCTCTTTCCCCATCGTACTCCCGTCCCATTGTCGTGCATTTTTCCCTGGTGTACCAGCCGAGTTTTTCGGGCGGGACGATTCCGCGGGAAACAATCCCATCCGGGTTTGGTCCCGTATTTGCTTGTTGTAGCGCCACGAGTCTGTTGTTCCATCGTTTATGGATTAATTTCGTGGGGCGTTTTCTTCCACCCACTCCATGGTAACCGCTAAGGCATGGTTACGTGAGTATTTCCCCCGCCGTGCTTGCTGTGATGTGTGGTGTGTGACATGTGATGCAGGTGCGAGCGCTTGAGCGACAGATCGTTTCCCTGGAGAGGGCCGAGAAGAAGGTTCAGAAGGACATCAAGACCATGGCCAAGGAGGGCACCCGCAACGAAAAGGCCATTCGAGTGAGGATGAGGTGTTTTGTGTCATGTTGTGTTCTCTTGTTTACTCTGCTTCGTACAGGAAGAGTTTCGAATTTCTGGGTAGAAATAGATTCTGTGACACCTCCCGTACCCTACAGAATAGTTCTGTAGCGCCCTCGTACAATACAGAATAGTTCTGTGAGGTTATGTAGAACCCTCGTACAATGCAGAATAGTTCTGTGGGTTCTGTGCTGTGACACCTCCCGTACCCTGCAGAATAGTTCTGTAGCGCCCTCGTACAATACAGAATAGTTCTGTGAGGTTATGTAGAACCCTCGTACAATGCAGAATAGTTCTGTGGGTTCTGTGCTGTGACACCTCCCGTACCCTGCAGAATAGTTCTGTAGCGCCCTCGTACAATACAGAATAGTTCTGTGAGGTTATGTAGAACCCTCGTACAATGCAGAATAGTTCTGTGGGTTCTGTGCTGTGACACCTCCCGTACCCTGCAGAATAGTTCTGTAGCGCCCTCGTACAATACAGAATAGTTCTGTGAGGTTATGTAGAACCCTCGTACAATGCAGAATAGTTCTGTGGGTTCTGTGCTGTGACACCTCCCGTACCCTGCAGAATAGTTCTGTAGCGCCCTCGTACAATACAGAATAGTTCTGTGAGGTTATGTAGAACCCTCGTACAATGCAGAATAGTTCTGTGGGTTCTGTGCTGTGACACCTCCCGTACCCTGCAGAATAGTTCTGTAGCGCCCTCGTACAATACAGAATAGTTCTGTGAGGTTATGTAGAACCCTCGTACAATACAGAATAGTTTTATGGGTTCTGTGACGCCTCCCATACCCTACAGAATAGTTCTGTGGGTTCTGTGACGCCTCCCGTACCCTACAGAATAGTTCTGTAACGCCCTCGTACAATACAGAATAGTTCTGTGAGGTTATGTAGAACCCTCGTACAATACAGAATAGTTTTGTGGGTTCTGTGACGCCTCCCGTACCCTACAGAATAGTTCTGTGGGTTCTGTGACGCCTCCCGTACCCTACAGAATAGTTCTGTAACGCCCTCGTACAATACAGAATAGTTCTGTGAGGTTATGTAGAACCCTCGTACAATACAGAATAGTTTTATGGGTTCTGTGACGCCTCCCATACCCTACAGAATAGTTCTGTGGGTTCTGTGACGCCTCCCGTACCCTACAGAATAGTTCTGTAACGCCCTTGTACAATACAGAATAGTTCTGTGGGTTCTGTGACACCTCCCGTACCCTACAGAATAGTTCTGTAACGCCCTTGTACAATACAGAATAGTTCTGTGGGTTCTGTGACACCTCCCGTACCCTACAGAATAGTTCTGTAACGCCCTTGTACAATACAGAATAGTTCTGTGGGTTCTGTGACACCTCCCGTACCCTACAGAATAGTTCTGTGGATTCTGTAGCAATCTCGTACAATACAGAATAGTTCTGTGAAATTCTGTAGAATGCCCCTTGTGACGTCAAGTCCGCGCACAACCGGCAAGGTATACACATATTGCCTTCGGCCTCTGTGCTGTGTTTCTGTGTTTCTGTGTTTCTTTTTTTCATGACCTCCCTGCCTACTCTGCTGTGTTGGGTACCGTGATCTCGCTTTGCGGTCGCCTTTGTTATTGTGCGTCTGGCTGTCTGCCCATCTGCCGCCTCTTTGTCCTGTTTGCTCCGTTACTCCCATGCCCTGGTGCGTAGTGCCTGGTGCTGGTAGGTTACCCTTTGGTTTTTCTTTGGGCGGGTGTGGGAAGCGTCCTCCTTTATTTTTGTTTTTTTTATTTTGATCGGTTTCCGAGGGCTCTTTCTCGAACGGTCGGTGCGATACCTGTTCTTTTCTTTTTATGATTTTGTTTCCGAGTGGTTTGTACCCTATTTTTATTTTTGTTTTGTTTCCCCGCGGCGTCGGATGTGCCGGGTTTTGAGACCACGGGCTCCCCATTTTTTGTGGACTATAGAGCTATTGTGAGAAACAACAACAACAACAACAACAACAACAACACAGACCCAGAGAGCAGCCCCCCTGCTCGTTTCCCACACACACACACACAACACACAAACAGACCTGTCGAAGTCCGTTTGTGAGAACCTCGAGAGGGAACATGAGCGCTGTTGCGGACCCCAACAACTCCTCCACGCCTCAAGACACAAACACAAACACAAACACGAATGCTGGGGGGGGTGAAGATGGCGGGGTTGAGACAAACGAAGGCACACCCGAGAGCAATGAGCAGCACGGCTCGAACGTCGTCGACGTTGCCGGAACCAGCACTGCAGGCGTGCCCGTACGCAGCGCGAAACCAGTCTACTGCGAGGACGGAGGGGTAGCGGAGGTGGCTGACGATATCGCTGCCGCGGTGGATACTTTCACCGTGCCGACTGGTTTCGTGAGAAAGGGCTACCGCGTCGACTCGTTCATGTACTCGCTCTGAGTGTACGTGGAGCAGAGCGCAGGCACCAACCACAAGTACTAGTGCCTGGCTAGCGGAGAGTGTCGGAGGGGACGGAAGGCGATTCCGTGCCTACGGGGAGACCGCAGCAACGTCAACACGCACCTCAAGAGAAAGCACGGCATGTAGGGGACCGAAGGAGTGAAGAAGGACGCCACCAAGACGGAGGCGCAAGGAACCATCAAGTCGGCCTTGGCCGCGAGCGTCAACTCGAGCCTCGGAAAGAACAGGTAGGTGTGGAGCCTAGTCTTTGTGTGTTTGTGCGTGTGTGTGTGCATGAGGGGGTTGAGCACCTGCTGGGTGCTACATGTACTGCTGCCTACGCGTCCTTTTTGCCTTTTTGGTTACTCACGCGCTTCTCGCATCCCCTACCTCCTGATTGTGTTGCGTGATGCTGCGATTTTTTTTTTGTGCTTGTTTTTTTGAGTTCGCGAGCTCTTGCGCGCGAAAATGGTTGTCGGCAAGTTCCTCCCCTTCTCCTTCTCTGGGAACTCGTGGAAGGACGTGATACGGTTCGAGACCGCCAAGGACACACCGTATCCCGTGCTTCCTAACAGGCGCATCAAGCACCTCCTGGTGGAGGTGTTCGTCGGCACGGGGAAGGTCAGCAACGTTGTCCTTGAACAACTCCCTTCTCGAGCTGCTTGCTTTTGCTTTCCTCGTCCGCTACTCTCTTCTTAAGTGAACGTCTCCCCGCCTTTTTCTGCAGGTAAAGTAGCACATGCAAAATAGCTGTTGGTTTGCGTACTCCGGTTCATTTCATTTTCTTTCGGCCAAACTCGAGAGATGTGCCGAACCAAACAAACATCAAGCATGAAACAAACAGGAACAGCCCGTTTTTGGTGGTCTATGGAACAGCATCCAGTGTTTTTTGGCATACAATTTCTCAAACTTGAGAGGAATGTAGTACAAGGTACATGTAACAGACATTATCCCGTTATCATGTGGTTTGCTAACTCGAGATAGCAATGTCAGTGTTCACCCGTAAAAAAAAAATTACATGTAGAAACACACGTTTTTACGCACTTTTTTTCTGTTTCTAGGAATCCATACAAAGTCAAGTGATTGGGAATTGTCCGGGGTGTAGTACACGATATATGTATTTAAAAATAAAAACATAAAAACTCCACACTTCCGGAAAGTAACAACAAATAAGTTGAAGCTTGTATTGGTCTTTGTTTTCCCGAACGCTCGTTCAGGTCTAAGGAGAGACTAACCGACATCATTTGTTGCCTTGCGTCGTTCGGTTCCTCTCGGCCTGCAGGCTGTGATGGGGAACATTTCGGAAGAGATCAAGAAGGCACCTCTGCCCATCGTGCACTACGGGGTCGACCTGTGGACGTGCAAGACTTCTGGCCTGAAATACATTGATGTCCACGTGTTCGTCGTCGACAGCAACTTCGAGCCGCGACACGTTCTTCTTGCTGTGAGTTAGACAGCTGTTGTGTTTCTATCCCCCTTGCCCCTCCGCAAGGTATTCGGAGCGCTTACGGTGATAGTTGATTATTATTATTGCATAGCAGCAGCACGCATGAGTACATGTGTATGTTAAGAAGTTGTGATTTAGTTGCCTTTCAGCGAGGTAGATGCGAGGGCCATCTTCGAGGCACCCTCTGGGTGTACCGGCCCTCCGCTGAAGATAATGTGTTTGTACACGTTGTGAGATCTGGAGGTTTATGAAACAAAACAACCACTCTCGTATTTTTGGGCCAGCGATCTCCCTCATACTCCTCCTGGCCAGTGCATAGTTTTATGTGTGCATGAGCGTACAAGAGTAAGAACGCTGTGTCTTCCTACTGCTGTTGCTAAATGTACGTCGTCGCTCGTTCGCGGATCCCCCCCCCCCCCCCCCCCCCCCCCCCCCCCCCCCCCC